TTATTATTTCTTGCCTATATCTTGTAATATGAGAAACTACTTTGGCAGTAACAATACACAATGTACTAACCATTGTTACTCTCCTAAAATCTTGTTTTGAGATTTTGTACCATTTATTTTATTTTTTTCTCTAAAATAAAAATAACTGATGTCAAAAATAAAAAAAAATACTAAGGGTAAGAGTCAGGGTTTTGGCCATCACACTGCCTAAAATTAATTTAATCTAAAATGGCTTTTGTTGAGATTTTATACTGGTTTTCAGTAATTCTGTCACTATTAAAGAAACATACTTTTAGAGATACATGACTAGACATTCATTTTTAATAGAATTTGGAATTATAAAGTGGTGAGTTAATAGATACTAAATGGATTAAAAAAAAAAAGAAGAGATCTTACATGACATCTCATTTGGTCTCTCTCTTTCTTAAATGAAGAAGTAAAATTAATGAGGCAAGCTGTCCTCAAAAACTGGGTGGTGTTAGATATTCTAAGAACAGTACAAGGGGGTACTTGTGCAACTGTAAAAAGGGAACATTATATGTATGTTCCTAATCCTTCTGCTTATATCTTGATGGTTGTTTAAGATATTGAATGACAGGTTAATGCCATGTCAGATTCTCAAATTCCCTGTATCTTCTCCTTACCCTTTTTGTGGGAGACTATTCCTGGTGGAAATATTTGTTGGTTGTATTTTTAATAATCTTATGAATCTTATTATCTGGCCAATGTGTACTTGGTCTTGTTTCCTCTAGACTTAAAGCTACAAGCCTATCCAAGATGAAAACCCCTGGTATCTATCCAGGGTCTTTAGATAGACCTTCTGTGGAATATCTCTGACTATTGATCATCACTACAACCCCCTTCAGTCAGAAGTAGTCAGAAAGGTAATTGCCCCTTGACCCCTCATGACAGTTAGGGCTACCTTTTGGGGAGGTATTAAGCAGCTAAGTTAGGTAAATATTATAGGCATTCAGATAAGGCTAAGACCTCAAAGGTGTCAATGCAGAAGATAAGAACACATTGCAGTTGGACAAGGTGGCACACATTTGTAATCCCAGCATTCAAGAGGCTGAGACAGGAGGATTACTGTGAGTCTGAGGCCAGGGTAGGCTAGTTCAAGGATAGCCCACACTACAGAGGTAGACCCTGTCCCCCCAAGACCCCCCTCCAAAAAAATCTCAAGACTAAAACAAAACACAACAACAATAAAAGCACATTACAAGTGTGGCTGGAGATGTATTTACTGAAGGCCAGAACTCAGGATAAGCAATATACTATAATCGATAGTCTAAATAGGCATCATTCACCTGAATAGGCAACCAGGACCTCCTAGCTTATTTCTTCCAAAAAAAAAGACCTTGTTCTTTCCATGTACATTTGCTATATGACACACTTCCCCATTGGATCAACATTTACCTAAATAGTATACTTGTACCTACTGATTGAGCATAGTTTTTTCTTTGTTTGTTTTGTTTTTCTGAGATAGAATCTCACTATGCAGTTCATGCTAGCCTTAAACTTACTATGTAGTACAGGCTAGCCTCAAACTTGTGGTGATACTCCTGCCTCTGTCTCCCCAGTGCTGGGATTATAGGCATGTACCACCACACTCAGCAGTTGAACATAGTTTTGTCCCATGTTGTACCTACCTTGTGATTTTGTTCTCACCTTGTGATTTTGCTTCCTTCCTTTGAGAAATGGGTCATTGGCAACCCACTTACCAGGTCCCCTCCTGTCTCTCTCAGGAGTTGTTTCTCCCTCAATAAAATTTCCTACTTTTAACTTCTGTTATTCCTTAGAATTCATTCAATTTTGGGGAACATCAGTTTGGGATATCTGACACTTAATAGGTTGGAAGCTATGTGGGAAGTGCTGTATCAAAAGGATCAAGATTAGACCTGCTGGGAACAGGATTTAGTGATGATGAAAAAGAGGACTCAGCAGAGATCGAAGAAGGACAAAATAGTTGGATAGATGCTCAGGAAATGTTTCCAGGAACGACTGGTCAACAGTGCACAGGGGAAGAGCTGCTGCTATGGTCTTACTGCATCAGGCTAAAGGTCGAAACCAAGTTGCACCTGTAACAGGGCCAAGAGGCACATTATTCAGCAGGTGATTAAGTCACAAGGGTAGAACCTTCTGGGATAAGGGACTTGTCAAAGGCTTTTGGGAGGGAGCTATTTGCCCTTTCCTTGGGACACAGCAAGAAGCTCTCATCAGATACTGAGTGCTGATGTTTTGACCTCACAGCCTCCAGAACTGTGAGAAATAAACTTCTGTTGTTGACATATTACACAGCCTGGTATTTTATCATAGGAGCACAAATAGTCCAGCAAATCAATTAAGATAAAGAACTGGTTTTTAAAAACATAAAAAGTTGTGCTTGCCCTGTTTCAAGTCAAAGTGACCTCCTGTCTTTCTGGAAGCAGTTCTGTCTGTTGTGACCAAATGACCTTCTGAAACTTGGAATGTGGGCAGCTCTCAGTGTAAGCATTGTTATGGATAATTTAAGCTGCGATCTGGTGAAAGATGTAGTTCTCCACCCCTCCTTAGTGAGTGACAAGGTCACACTGGAGCCCTGAAAATATGCATCCTCTCTGTCATGGTAGTCAGGTGACTGGGAGTCTTTCAAGGACAAGAAAAGAAACCCAGCCAGAAACCTCACAAAATTAAGGACTTCTGTCTTTTATCTGATTCTAGGGAAGGAATCAAAGTAAACATAGAAGTGGCTCTCTGGACTCAGAGACACAAGCCAGATGAGCAAGGGAATGCCATCATTTGCACGATTTAGACATTGTGCCTGATTGTCTGCTTTCCTATTTGGAACCTTCTCCTGCTGCTCAGTTTGCAACCTCATACACCCTTGGAGCTTCCCGCGGCAAGGTGAAACTAACGGTGGTTCTGAAACCACAAGGGCCTGCCTTTCTCTAGCTGCTTAGCCTGGGAGTCAGTTTACTCTCCCGCCGGTGAGACAGTTTTCTCTGCCTTTCCGGGCTGCTGCGGGGGCACAAGGAAGTTCCATAACCCGAGTTAGATGCTCCTCTTCTCTCTGAGGCCAGTGTGTGAGTCAGAGACCTAGTCGTGTTGTCTAGCCGAACTTCCGGCCAGAATGGTTTTGAGCACTTTAGATATGTGTAGTGCAACTGAAGGACCGACACTTTTACTTTATTCTATTTTGCTTTCCTTCGTTTTTGTACTTTGCTTGGGACCCATAAGACTTCATGCTGGGAAAGAGCTAGGCTAGAGTTCTGCGGTACCCTGCCATTGCTTCCTTTAAATAGAGCCGCCAGGCGGAGACTAGCCAGGAGCTTTCTCATCCTTGATGGGTCCCCTTCCAGGCCAGGCCACTTGTTAGGCTGACTCATGAGTTTGGACCCTGTAAGGGGCATCTTGACTACAGTTTCTTCCCCTAATGGGATCCTCCTGAATGAAGTCAGAACTAGCAGAAAACCCGGGTCCAGGACCTCGCAGTGTGAGACCATAACAACCAAGAACTCTATTTACTTCCCCACCAGTCACCCTCCACAATCTTGAGCCTTGGGGAAATGAGGTGGGGGCCCACCCGACTGAGCTTCCCACGGCCACAGGCTCCTTATTTTATGCAGCAAGCAGGCGAGGCTCCGTATTTCCACGTCTACTTCACAGACGAGGAAACTGAGGCTCCCGTGGGCTCTGGACAATGCAAGCGCCAACGTTGAGCGAACACTCTGGGGCTCCGGTGCACACGCCAGACGTTTCCGGGAGTCGGGCTGTCCCGGCGCGAGGGGAAAGTAGAGGGTAAATATTTGCGACTGTAACTCGGGCTCCGGCGACTGACACGTCACTGCGGTTCGCAGGCGGGCGCGTGGCGAGGGCGGGAGCTTTGGCCAGGGACGTCCAGAGCGCAACTGGGTTGCACCGCCCACCTGGCTCTGGGGCTGGGGGACTCCGCGGCCCCGCCCCGAGCAGGACCGGCCCCGCCCCAACCTGACGGACCCCGCCCTCAGCCCGCCCCGGCTCCGCCCCTTGCTCCGGCGGCTATAAGTGAGAGGGCTGCAGAGCTCCAGGTCTCCGAGGGCGTGCGGGTCCCGAGTGGCTCAGTGTTGTGAGTGCTGCTTGGGTGCACGCGGAGGTCGAACTCCACTATCCGGCCTCGGCGCCAACGTCGACCCTGTCCTCGCTTACGCTTCACAAGGCTCGAGCGCAGCCACCTCATGAAGCCCCCTACGACGCAGGGCAGCCCCGCGGCCGCTGCGGCTGCAGGTGAGTGCAAGCGATTCAGGTTCTCCAAAGCCCGGCTTTGCAGGCGGGGGCCGAGAAGAGAGGCCCGTGGGGTCCTTTACACACCCGCCCTTCTGTCCTGGCGGGCGGGACCCTGCCCCTACTTCGCTCCAAGAGCGATGCAGGAGGCTCATCCTGACTCAGCCTCCCTCCTCCAGCCAGGTTCTCCCCACCCTCGCCCGGATTAGCGAGCGCGTGGGAAAGCGCGGGGCGTGTCGATTAGCACCTAGCTGGCTTCAGCCTCTCAGCCGAGGCTTGGTTTCTTATCTGTCCAGTGGGTTTGATCTAGATGCCCTGGGGAGGGCGGTTGAGATGACGGAGCCAGCTGTGGCTCACGCCCATCACACTCAACGTATTGTCCCCCGGACCGCGCGACTCGGGCCCAGGGAGCGGGGGCGCCTGAACCTCATCACTGAGCCCGCTGTCCCTGCCCTTGCCCCAGCCCCTGCCCTGGACTCTGCGGCCGCCGCGGACCTGACTGACGCGCTGTGCGAGTTTGACGCGGTGCTGGCTGACTTCGCGTCGCCCTTTCACCAGCGCCACTTCCACTATGAGGAGCATCTGGAGCGCATGAAGCGGCGGAGCAGCACTAGCGTCAGTGACAGCAGCGGCTTCAGCGACTCGGAGAGTAAGTGCGGCCGCTCCTCTCAGGCCTGCTACCTAGGGATCTGACCTCAGTTTGCTTGACTGGGGTCCCGGGTCCGTGCCTTGCCTAGAAAGCCTTCAGAACTGAGCCCCAGAGGACCCGGTGTGTGTCGCAACGCTGGAGCTACTAGTAGCTTTTGCTGAAAGAGCCAGATGGGACTCGTGAGACCTGTGTCAGGCCCTTCCATGCCTCCCCGCCTCTGCTTTTCTCTCCTCCAAGCTAAAACTTTCTAAAGTATGTGGAACAAGTGCCACTGAAGTGGGAGGGGCAGGTGGGGACATGAAAGCACACAGAGCTTAAACATTTGTGAAACCAGGAAAGGTTTCATAAACTGCTATTCTTGGATTTTTTTTTTTTTTTTTTTTTAAATAGCTCCTTGAGTTTTCTTCTGGCCGTGAGCTCCCAGACATGTTTCTCCATGGCATGCAACTTTGAAAGACTCCCTGGCACTGCAAAATTCAGAAACTGTTTAGAGTGCCTGTCTTCCTTCAGACAGGTCACTACCCAGGCTGGAGCTAAGCCAGAAAGCAGATGGCTTGAAGTCGCTTCCTGGTGAACATTCCCCCTGTGGGGATCACCACTAGATCTCTGTCTTAACCTTGTAAAGAGACAGCTTTTTTTTTTTTTTTTTTTTTTTTTGGTGGAACCAGGGATTGAACTCAGACCCTTGCCCTTGACAGGGAAGCGCTTATTCCACTGAGACAGCTTTTTTTTTTTTTTTTTTTTTCTAGAAACTTGAATGTCCTAGTAGATTATGGATACCTGTTTAGGTATTAAATACCAAATTTAGCAACTTTAAAATTATGGATTCCAAAACCATTTTAAAGTGAGTTTTAGGCTGAATGTGGTGGAACACAACTGTAGTCCCAAAACTCAGGAGGCTAAGGCAGGTGGGTCGCTGCAAGTTCGAGGCCAGCCTGGGCTACAAATTGAGTTCAAGGCCAGCCTGAGCTGCATAGTGAAGCCCTGTCTCAAAAAATAAAAATTAAAGTAAATTAAATTCTGTTTATTCTTGAGCCTTTAATACCTAGACGGATTATAGGCAGGTACCTTTTCAGCTTTTACTGCCCCTGAATGTAGTGTGAAAATGGGCTTTCCTTGTGGTTCTCTGGTTCTGCAGTCTCTGGAGCTCCTTTGTATTACTGTCCTTTCTGACAAGGGATAAGGGCCCTCATCACCCAGGTCGGAGTTTGAGTCAGAAACCTGAGTTTCAGTAGAGTTTTCCTAGCAGCCCTGGCAGAAGGTTGTGCTAGGCTGTAGCTTTTGAGGTGAAGAGGGGTGGAAGACTATGCTGTTAATTTTCCACTTAAAATTCTTTTTTTTCTTCTAATACTCTGGCTACTCATCTTTGGTGTCCAAGGGAAGTGTTAATATTTTGAAATGTGTCTCAATGCCTGTGGCCAACCTTAAGTGGGGCATGGAGTGAGTTATTCATCAAATACAAATTCTCTCCTCCATGGGAAGGAAAGCTGGTCATTGCTGTTCTGTAGTAAAGAACAGCTCCTTTCTGAACCAGAGCTCTATTCTGTTAGCCGATGGCCAGAGCTCACCCATTCATGGCTGATTGCAAGTTCTGCTGTAAGTGTAAGTGTAGTGCTTCCCACAAGACTAGTCAGAATAGTTTTGGCAGGAGTTGTGTGTGTCCAAAAGTCATTTCTTAAGGAAGCATACAATGTGTATCTTAATTGCTGCCAAGAATTGAGCACAGACATTTGTTAAACTCATATGCCCCTTTGATGTTTTTCTGTGGAGGAAAATGCTAGAGAGAGCAGCCTACTGAAATTTAGCTCTCTAAAAGGGAGCAACCTGGGTAATAATAGTAACAGCAGTTCACTTTTAGCAAGCTCTTACTAGGATTATTTATTAGCTCTTTCTATTGGCGATCTCTTTTCTGTTCTTTGTGATCTTTACCAGTTCCTTTAGTTAGGTAGCATTATCTGATAGCATTTTTCTGATAAAACCGAAGAATCATGGCACTGACTCTCCACTACTTTGTTCTATCACCATAGGTGGCTGGCTAGCAGGGGAGCTCACTCCTTAGGAAGAAGGAAGTCTTGTTAAACCCAAAGCATGTGTTGGCTTGTCAGCAGTAGTTTTGTTTAAGATCTCTTTGAGCTAGCAGGTTTCTTTGAGCTACCAGATATCTCAGTAGTGCCCAGGACTTGTAACATAGGAAGTGGACCAAAATAACAATTGCAGATTAACTTCACATTAGGAATAGGTTTCACATGGTCATTGATTAAAGTAGGGTTCTTCCTTTTGGATGGATTTGCCTTCCAATAAGTAATATCAGGCACCTTAGTGGGACAAATTTTTAAGTAAAGGGGGACTACAATTAGGAGCTAGGGAAGACTTCTTCATTCCTGATCCTCAGAGTGCTTTAGAAATTGTAAGTATCTTTGGTTTGAAGTAGTTTTAAAGACTATATATTTTTTAAAACTTTGGAAGTATAGCTTGATTTCTCAAATGTATTTTAATGAAATCTTTACTCATATGTTACAGATTGTAACTGATGCATTAATTTACGCTTTACTGATTGGTTTTAGGTATGATGAACTCGCGTCTCTGATGTTCTGGAGTTTCACATTTTTCTTTCTAGAAGGTAGTGTTTTGCTATTTAGTAGGAAAGGTCTGAGGCCTACTCTGTATGCTAAGGCTATGATATAATAGACGTTTTAGGGAATGAGGGACCAGTGTTTGCATTTGCAAGTGCTAAAACATCTGAAAATTGTTGCCTAGAGTATTCTGGTCTAGTTTCAGGAGAAAGGACCTTCTGAGCCTTGGGGGACCAGAATGACAGTGTGTTATAGCTGATATGCCTAGGACCCACTGATAGCAGAACTTGAACTCTTTCAAGCTATGAGAGGATGAGGCCAGTTAGGAGTCATAAGGATGCCTCATAGTACTTAAGAATTCCTGTGAACAATAGGTCTTATTCGGATGCCTGGTAAACTGTCCTGAAGAATAGAGCAATCATAGACGAGGACCTGGGGCCACAGTGGTAAAAATGAGAAACAGATTGCATTATTGTATCTTATTTTACTGAAGCTGTCAGAATTTAGATTTTGATGAAGAAAACTACTCCCCTCATCCCTGCCATCTCCTGTGGAAAAAAGGAAAGAGAACCAAGGCTTTCTGTCTCAGTAAATTACTATAGTTTGTTTGCCATAAATGTGTGGAATTGTTCTATATTTACCAGAGCTCTGGATGAGGTTTATGCTTGGTGGTTTTACTCCCTTCTGGAGTAGCACATGGTACTAACCCTAAATTACCTTTCTCCTACCCCATCCCCCAGAACTCAAAATCCATACCTGCCTTTTAAACAATTCTTTGCTTGTTTGAGTTTCTCAAGCTTTTTGATGCACTAGCAATTGTATATTTAATACACTTTCATTTCTTTTGGTAGTGTCTTAGAAACTTCAGTCCTAGAATTTGAGAATTTTGGTTTCAGTTCTGAATGTGGACTTTCCCTGGATGTTTCCAGTGGAGTTTTGAGATGCTGCTGAGGTAGGGCTTTAGAGCTGATTGAAATAGACATTATAAGTCCTTGAAATACTCAGCCTTCCCACCTTCTGAAGTGCTACAGACCTTCACTGTTGAGCCATATTAAGGACAGTCTACTAATAAGGGTACCCTTTGAGCCCTTATTAATAGCAGTATCTGGCATGGGATTGGATCAATAATACATGAATATGCTATCAGCCAATGACACACTGCTGTCATATTATCAGACCAAAAGCTGTCATCTTGCAAGGAATAGATCCAGTTCCAGGGAAGTGAAAGGCACAGGAAGTCAGGTCTTGCTCATCTTTTAATCTCCCACACCACTTCACATGAAATTCTGTTCACTGTGGATGCTTAATGGAAGTCCATGGGAAGCAGTTTCACTGGGGAAAGGTAAAGAGAGGTCTCGCATGGCTATCTAAACATAGCAGAAAACCAGGGCCTGGAATTATATTCATTTTATTTTCTATGATGAGTTTTTTTCTTCTGACCTACTACTCTCTATTTTGCTAAGGAATTTAGAAAAAAATCATCATCACTACACACAGAGTACCTAAGTGCATAGTGCACCATCACATGGCCTCTGTGTACATGCTGTCCAGAGTGGTATAGCTTTAGGGCTCTGGGGTTGCTTTTTTTGTTCTTTCTGCGAGTGAGTGGCATCAGTAGACTCTTATTATAAGAGTGTAGCTAAATAGGGTGGGTTTGGCTTTAGGATGCTGATAGTTCATTTCCTCTTAATACTTGAAAGTGGAGCATCACAGAATCTGGAGTTGGGTTAGCCCAGACTGTGTACCTCATGGAAAGAGATGGAAGTTACTGTGTGGCAATAAGCTAGCAGGGTGTGGGCTAATTGTGTGTGGGTGGGCGGTGGGAGGGGTCTGGAGAGTGGGTGAGGAGAGGGGAAGTGAGCATATGCTATGCTGACGTGCCTGTGTGCATGTTTATATATAGAACTGGTGTAACTTGAATTTTTTTCCCCCCCTTTGGCCCTCATTGTGGAAGTACCATGAGTTCATAGGTAATAAAAGGAACTGCTAACCATTTTGATAGTCTAACTTACCACTGAATTTATTAGTCAAGAAAAAGTCAGTTGTCTTGAATTTAGAGAAAGAACTTAGATCATGGTTTTAAGCATGTGGATCAGACTCTGAAGGATTAGAAGCAAGCTAGGGCCTTTTTCTGAGTCTCTGGCTCTTGTTCCCCAAGACACCTGCATTGCCTTGAGCTTCATCTGAATCCCCAGTGGATGCCCTCTTTTCTACCATCTTCTTTTTTAAAATATGTTTTTATTTTTTTAAATTTTTTATTCATTTTAAAGAGAAAAAATAGCAATGAAACAGTTTCAAAACAGGTTAGTAGGACAGTTATAATAATTAATACATTGCATATTGTTGTCTTCATAGTAGTTATTCAGAGGACAAGATGTAGACATGATTCATGTCTAAACAATATTAGTACAAACCTTTCTTCTCATTGAACTAAGAGAAAGTAGCTGTATATCTATCCTACCTATTTTGCATATACAAAAATATTTTTTTTCACTACAAAATGTTCCTTCATTTTATCCCCCATTTTTGCTTTGTTTTGTCAGAGATGGGTATTCTATTGCTGTACCATCTCTTTTATAATGGCCTATTCCATGTTGAAATACTTTCTTCCCCAAACACTCAATCTTTGGTCTACTTGCTTGGAAGGTGAATTCATTGTGGTCATCCTCTCCCCCAAAGCATAATAATGTGTAGCTACAAAATTGCTGGCATTAGAGCAGAACAGAGTTGAAGTCCAAAGTCAGGAGAAGCACTACAGGGGTGCATGTAGGCGGGGGTGGAGTGAGGCGTGGCTCCCAAGTGCCAGCCGTCATGGGAGATAAAGACCAAAGTGGTAGCCCCGAGTTCTGGGCCAGTGAGTTTTGGAGCTGAAACTCTGGTTAGAAATGGGGTGAAGTTCTTGAATTTTTTCAGAGCCAATGATAATATGCCAAGGGCCTCATGTCATCTGGCTTGTGCTCAGCTCTCCTGGAACCCTCTGTGTTTTCCTTGACCCTAAGACTTACTTCTCCCCAAAAGTTTCTCATGTGTATTATGGTGAGTACCCTGTTCATTGCAGTGATAAATACTAATGCTTCTGCGTAGGTCTGTAATGGGTGCAGCCACTTTCCTGTGTATGGGTCTCAGCTATTCTTCTCTCATTGCTGGGACAAATACCCAACACCCAAAATGAAGGAAGAAAAGGTTTATTTAGCTCACAGTTACTGGAGGTTTCAATCCATAATCAGCTGGCTCCAAGGCAGGGTGGCACATGGCAGAGAGCAACCTTTCATGGTGGTTACAAAGAGCAGAGAGTGAATGGGAGAAGTAGCAGCAACAAATGGCAACAGAGAGCAAGTCTATCTCTCTTAAATTGCATTCAAACTATCAGCTCCAGGCTGGGGGAAGTACTCACACCCATCATCCCAGCAGCACTAAGGCCCATAATCCCAGCTTTGATCATAAATTAATCTCAAGCTCTAGAGGTCCCTGCCCCATGACTGCTCAAGGCTTTGGGGGGACAACTAGACACAAACTGTAACAATGGAGGACTATCTTCTAGACTTGAGCTCAGCTGACAAATCAAGAAAGGCTTGGAGGGCTTTCCAAGTCAAGTTTGGGAGAGGTCACCAGTGTCTTGAGAAATTAATACATGGCCACAAAAGTGTCCCGTGGTCATGTAGAATTGGGAAATAGGGCCAAACTGGTTTGTCACAAGACTTCTCAGGGATGTTAAAAATGGAAATGATCAAAGGTGCTTAATTGCTTCAGGAACTTAGTTGATGATGATGCTCTTCATCATCATTCTCTTCATCAAAAAGATGAGTCTTTTTTGGGGGGCAATTGTAAGCATAAGGCACAGTGTTCTGGCTCTCAGTAGGTGTTCATCATTAAAGCTCTGAAATGATTATGGTCTTTTTATATGACCTGAGCTGGACCCCTTGAAGAAAGAATAGATTGTGAAGTTGAGTCACAAAGATCTTCTGGGCATGTTTGGGAAAATGGCCTATTTAGACAGGTGGAAAGAGACAGAACAAGATGGTAGCCTAGTCACTTGGTAGAAGAGGGAGGAAAGAAATCCAGCTAAGATGCCTGAGTATAGTAACCTTTTAGTAAAGAAGGTGAATTAGTTCCAGACTAAAAGCCTTTCTGAAACACTAATTCTTTTTATACCCACCATGTCTTCTGTAACTGACTCAGTTCACTTTGACTTATGAGAACCAAAGCAGATTTTTTTTCTCCCCTGAGCTGAAGAGAATTAGCTTAGAGTAAAGGAATCCTGAAGGAAATAAGCAGCCCAGCAAGGCCCTCAGCGTTCAACCACTCCCCTCACTTGGAGTCTGTCCAGAGCTTGTATCTACTACAGCCTAGGCTGGGTTTTGTGTTCTGCATGAACCAGGAGGCTGTTCCATTGTGACCACATTGGCCACATCCTGCTTCTACTGCCTGCTCTGCCTCTGAGCCCTCTGACGTGGTGTTGCTCTCTACATGTCACCACCCTCAGTAGGGCTGGCAGTAGGCTGATGGGGGCTGGTTTCCTTCTCCTCAGCAGAGCCTAGAGAGGTAGAATCTCAGTGCTCCAAGGCTGAAGGGATTTTTAAGGATTGTTAAATCCTACTTTCCATTTTTATTGAGGGATAAATAAACTTTCTTCAAAAGTTTCTCATGTGTATTATGGTGAGTACCCTGTTCATTGCAGTGATAAATACTAATGCTTCTGCGTAGGTCTGCAATGGGTGCAGCCACTTTCCTGTGTATGGGTCTCAGTTATTCTTCTCTCATTGCTGGGACAAATACCCAACACCCAAAATGAAGGAAGAAAAGATATACAGTAGATATACAGCTACTTTCTCTTAGCTCAATGAGAAGAAAGGTTTGCACTAATATTGTTTAGACAAGAATCATGTCTACATCTTGTCCTCTGAATAACTACTATGAAGACAACAATATGCAATGTATTAATTATTATAACTGTCCTACTAACCTGTTTTGAAACTGTTTCATTGCTATTTTTTCTCTTTAAAATGAATAAAAAATTTAAAAAAATAAAAACATATTTTAATTGGAGGGCTTTCCAAGTCAAGTTTGGGAGAGGTCACCAGTGTCTTGAGAAATTAATACATGGCCACAAAATTGTCCCATGATCATGTAAAATTGGGAAATAGGGCCAAACTGGTTTGTCACAAGACTTCTCAGGGATGTTAAAAATGGAAATGATCAAAGGTGCTTAATTGCTTCAGGAACTTAGTTGATGATGATGCTCTTCATCATCATTCTCTTCATCAAAAAGATGAGTCTTTTTTGGGGGGCAATTGTAAGCATAAGGCTCAGTGTTCTGTCTCTCAGTAGGTGTTCATCATTAAAGCTCTGAAATGATTATGGTCTTTTTATATGACCTGAGCTAGACTCCTTGAAGAAAGAATAGATTGTGAAGTTGAGTCACAAAGATCTTCTGGGCATGTTTGGGAAAATGGCCTATTTAGACAGGTGGAAAGAGACAGAACAAGATGGTAGCCTGGTCACTTGGTAGAAGAAGGAGGAAAGAAATCCAGCTAAGATGCCTGAGTATAGTAACCTTTTAGTAAAGAAGGTGAATTAGTTCCAGACTAAAAGCCTTTCTGAAACACTAATTCTTTTTATACCCACCATGTCTTCTGTAACTGACTCAGTTCACTTTGACTGAGTATGGATTGAAACTTCCACTTTGGTCTTTATCTCCCATGACGGCTGGCACTTGGGAGCCACGCCTCACTCCACTCCCGCCTACATGCACCCCTGTAGTGCTTCTCCTGACTTTGGACTTCAACTCTGTTCTGCTCTAATGCCAGCAATTTTGTAGCTACACATTATTATGCTTTGGGGGAGAGGATGACCACAATGAATTCACCTTCCAAGCAAGTAGACCAAAGATTGAGTGTTTGGGGAAGTGTATTTATCACTGCAATGAACAGGGTACTCACCATAAATACACATAAGAAACTTTTGAAGAAAAACTGCCTTGCTCAAGGGCACTTACTCCTGGGCCTCCTGTAACCCTGCTTCTGGAGGGATGAGAATAGGAGTGGTGAAATCCTTCACGTGTCTGTTGTAAATGGACTATCTTCTGTTTTTACTTTAGCCTGTCCCTAGACTGTAAGATCTTGGGAGAAATTCATGATAAAGATTTTCTCATGAGCAGGGAGATGATGATAATGATGGTGATGGTGGTGTGTGTGTGTGTGTGTGTGTGTGTGTGTGTGTGCGTGCGTGCACGCGTGTGCATGCATGTGTGTGTTATTAAATCTAGGGTCTTCACTGAGCTACATCTGTAGTTCTTTTTAATTTCTTTCTTATTTTGAGAAAGGGTCTCACTATATCAGTAAATTGTCCACACTGAGTTAGAACTTTCAGTCTTTTTTTTTGAGGCAGGCTCTTACTATGCAGTTCAGGCTGCCCTACTCTCACTCTATAGCCCAGGGTAGCCTTAAGCTTATGGAAATCATCCTGACTCAGCCTCCTCAGTGCTGAGATTACAGGCATATACCATCATACCTAAATTTACAGTCTTTCTGCCTTAACCTCCCAGGTGCCACCATGCCTGGCTGAGAGAGAAGGTTATTACATCATGGGGCCCAACGTTGTGCTTATAGGGAATTCAGGGGGCAGAGGGACATTTTTTCATGGCTTGATCATTGGGTTTGACATTTGATCAGTAGTTTCTGTGTGCCAATAGAGGTCTGGTCTTTATGATTCCATCATAGTTTTTAAGCAAGGGTTTTTGTTGTGCTTGACTGGAGACGCATGCTCACATGTACACCTGCCTTTTCCCCTCCCTTAAATCATTTTAGGGCATAAATATAAATCCTGGAAACCTGCCTATTTTCTATAGATTTGACACTTTTGTTCCTTTTGAAGATAAACTGCTTGTCTCTGTTACTCTTCTCTTGTTGCTGGGACAATACCCGACACCCAAAATGAAGGAAGAAAAGGTTTATTTAGCTCACAGTTGCTGTAGATTTCAGTCCTTACTCAGCTGGCTCCAAGGCACGGTGGCACAGGCAGAGAGATCCAGTCATGATGGTGGCAAAGAGCAGAGAGCAAAATGGAGGAGTAACAGCAGCAACGGCAACAGAGAGGAAGTCTGTCTCCCTTAAATTGCATTCAGGCTATCCGCTCCAGGTTGGAGGAAGTACACCCATAATCCCACAAGTACTAAAACCCATAATCCTAGTAGATTATGAGTTAATCTCAAACTCTAGAGGTCCCCACCCCATGAGTGCACGAGGCTTTGGGGGGACAACTAGACACAAACCATAACATTGCTTGTGACTAGGTAATAGACTGGTGAGTCTACAGTTTGATGACTGCCTTCTAATGAGTATGATTTCTTTTCTGCAAGGTGCAGATTCACTTTACAGAAACAGCTTCAGCTTCAGTGATGAAAAACTGAATTCTCCAACAGACTCTGCCCCAGCTGAACTCTCTCCTTCCATCACCCCTCGGAAAGGTAAGTTCATTAGTTGGAGTGTGGGTTTTTCTGCTTTTATATTTCCCTCTCCTCACCCCTTCTGTCTTTCCTTTATCCCCAGCCAGTCTTTCCTAAATGTGCAAGCAGGCACATAAGGCTAATGTCTTAGTAGAGGAGAATATGAACTGGAATTTGTTATTTCTCAGAGTTTTGATTGGTGTTAGAACAAGATCAGATTCTTTGAGATGGAACACCTGACTTCACAGGGGAAAAGACAACTTGTGAATTCTAGACTGTTCTCTCATGTGGTATAAATGAGGCTGTAACAAATGATGACTTTTTACTAGGTTCCTACCAGACTAGTTGGTTCTAGAATTTAAAACTCAGAAGTTTGGCTTTGTAAAAAGAAGGATTGTTTTTTATCATATTAGGTATTTAACCAGTACTTTCAGATGACCAACTAGGAAAAGAGTTGTCACACTATCCAAAATAGCAGCCTGGTGCTACTGTGATTATTAATAAAGCTATAAAGTTTTTAAGGATGCATGAGGCATTTCTTATTTTTTGGAACTGGTGAAGTGTCTCCAGCTAGAGCTCTCAGTGTTCTCTTACACTGGACAAGTGCCCTCTTGAAAACAAAAGGAAGTCCCCCCCCACCCCCCAATGAAAGTCATACTTGCTGAAAATAGTTGTGGATGTGGAATGTTCTAAAAATGGAACACACTTAAAAACAAAACTATGAAGATTCCATTACTTTTTCAATCTGGCTTTAAGACTGAACTTCTCTCCTTTTGAAAGAGGTATTTTAAAATTCTCTCCTTAACCCAGCAACATTAGCTGCCACTGGGGACTCTGCCATTGTCCAGCCTTCACTCTGTAATTGATCTGTGAAATTCAGAGACAAGAGCAGTCTAGAAGGTGGCTTAAATTGTGCCTAGATTCTCTACCTGATCCTCTTGCAATTAAAGGGAAAAAAATAGCCCCTCAGTAGCAAATTGACTTGAAAAACTAGGAACAATGAATTATTTGTAGCCAGCAGAGGGTATATAATAAAAATATCCAGCAGTACATTTTCAGGGAGGGCTCAAATGATAAATACAACAGAACCAAGTGAAATATATAGATAAGGTCTATATACCTCAGACTATAGAGAGAACAATATCTAAATATGAACTCAATGTCTTGTACTGGCATTCAGATAGGACGATGGGATAAGGAGCAATAATAGTTTTTTGTACATTTCATGCTGGAAGACTTCTGAGGACTGCAGTATTGCCTCGGGGCAGTTACACAAGCAAAACTGCATCAAAAGGCAAGGGTTGCAGCAACTATATTCTGGGCTGGTATAGGACACATGTCAGTAAATTTTTGAAGATAGATATAAAATAAAAAGAATCCATTTCATAATCCTGGAAATTGCATTATCCTTCAAAACTGGACATAGGAGCATCTTTAATATGGAAACCAAAAGGAGAAGCAAGAAATATCATGTTTAGGTACAAATTGCCTATGATGAATGTTATCAATGTATATATCTAAAATGTACTGATAAAATATAAATTAAAAAAATATGGAAACCAAGCTCTGTTTGTTTTACAGCTAAATTAGGAGACACGAAAGAGCTAGAAGACTTTATTGCTGATCTTGACAGAACATTAGCAAGTGAGTACATGCTTTGTATTAAAAAAAAAAATCAAAGAAGAAACTAACTGACACTTTTGATAAAGTGCTGCAATGTTTACCAGCTTGGCTGCTGGCAGGAAGTTACATCATAAGACTTCTTTAGGTTTAGAAATAGGACCCTGGCAGCTTAGAAAGATTTTCTTAGGATAAGCTTGCATGAAAGTAGCCTGTGTTTGGTGAGAACAGGTCACCAGCGAACAATGGTTTCTTGTTTGGGAAATGGAAAATGAGCAGGACTGGAGCATTACCTCCCTCGCAGCCTGCCAGGTTTCTCAGAGAAGAAATGGTCTGATCAGTCACACAAGCATTACTCCAGAAAGCTGGAGGCTTCCATCCCAGGGTCCAGGGTCATTTTTCCATGTTTCCACGGGTCTCGGTGAAGTCTAAAAGTTGAGTACAGAGAAGGAACTGGCTCGAGGAGATCAAGTCTGCTGCCAGATGACCTGAATGAAGCACACGACACTTGCCTCTCAAGGAGTTACACTAATGATAACTCATTTTTTATGACTAAAGATACTGGAATTTGAAGACATCAGATCATAACTGCAGCAGGGAGGTTTAGAGGGAGGGACTGTCACAATCTTTCTGCACACATATACACATATTAATTTGAAAGAATAAGTTTGCTAGAGCTAGGAGAACCAATCAATATAAGCTTCCAGAACGAGGTTCTGCAAATGGTTTTATGACATCTGGGTCTTGTTCAGTTATGCAGTGGACCTCAGAGAACCTTGTTATAGTCTTTTAATTTTTTTAATGAAAGAGTTAATTTTCTTTAAGAGTCTATGCTATGCCCTACTAAATGGCCATGTAGATTAGATCAGAACAGACAGAGCTAAATACCAGGTAGAAAATCTTTGCACCATCTATTTATTTGAAGATTTTATTGCTCCTTTCCTTATAGGCTGCACCATCATACATCAGAGAACCTAGACCTGTTGTGACAGAGATTATGATAACTGCATCACAATTTGTATCAGGCCCATTAAACAAGCCTGTCTTCTTCATGGAAATTACAGCTGGCTACCCAGTCATTCCAGTTGGCCAGTTAGCCAGACATATTACGTGGGAAGCTTGCCATTTAGTTTGGTGCTTTGATGCCAGTCTGAGACTCTGATGTGGTTAAGCCTAGGAATTGTGAACTTCTGTGAGTAACTAACCTTACCCATCTCCTTTTTACAGGCATGTGAAGTAAGGAATTATAGGTCCTTTTATCATATGAAAGGAGTTTCAAAAAGCTCCAAGGACCTGCAAACATCAGCTACTGGAAAATCAGCTGCTGCCAGAGGGGACAGAGATGAACACTTACCACCAGGCTATGCTTAGGCCCACCCTAAGATTAGCTCTCAGGCCTCCCTCTGGGCAATTCAAACAGTGAAACTGACTTTGTTTACCTACCTGCAACATATTAGAACAGATGATCTATGCTAATGTATTTTTCTCTTAAAACAGCTTTTCTGTAATTTAAAGTGCTTTTATGAAAATATTTGTAATTAATTATATATAGTTTGAAATAGTAATATGCTTTCCCCATTATAATATATTTTTGTATACAAATAAAATTTGAACTGGAACCTATATTTTATAAGCTTCCTTTTCTTCGTTTCTCTCAGTATAATTCTATTTAGTAATATCCTAGTGGGAACCAGCATCTGGGCTCCTAACAAAGACCCTTGGGTGCCACTGGATTACACTATACAGGGAGATGATAAACTTCAGAATGCTTGGCTTTGAGATTGTTCAGTGCTGCCAAGGGCCATTCTGACAGAGGGCTCATGGGAAATTTTAATGTGAGGATTGTGGTCTTAATGGATGTTAGCTTTTTTTTCTGCCCCACCCACCTTGTCCTATTATTGCACCTTTGCAAGTATGTAGACTCTTTCTTTGAATTAAAGAAAATAACATTGTACTCAAACTCCAGAATTTAAACAGAAGGGAAAGCTGTGGCTGCTGGAGGCCTTCAAAATGAAACTTTTTCTAAGGGTAGGCTAAGCAAGATTTAGTGGTGCTGCCTTGAGGCTGGTGCCAGGCAACTTCGTAGCCAGAGTGCTCAGATGCAATGGGGAAACTTTGTGCACAAATGTGCTTGCAGATGTGTGCCACCACACCATGCTGGGGAGAGGCATACAATGGGAAAGCTCATGATTTTGTTTATGCTTTTCTATCTTTAGAATCTTCTAAAAGTAAGCAGGCATTACTTTCATAAACAGGACGAAAATTGGGCAAGGTGGTGCATGCAGGCAATACTAGCACTCTCAAGGGCTATGGTAGGAGCCAGACTGTAAATTCTACCAGATCCTGGTGTGAACAAACCTACGGCAAGGCCAGTCTGACAAACAGCTTGTTCTATTATGTCAGTACATACAACTTTTGGCAACGACCTTGTTCCTGGTTTATGTTTTTACTATTCTGTCACTATTGAAGAGGCCACGTCTACTTATAAAAAGTGCTGTGAAAGAGTATGCTGTGTTACCTTGCAGCAGTCTCATGCATCCAGTGTTTATGTCTCTTGATTGTATCAAGGGGCTGCACTCAGTGACTAACCTGTCTAGGTTTCTGTAAGGCTACACTATGATGGTCACACAATGAGGAATCTGATGCATTTCGCAGAATGTTAGCCCTTTGGTACATGACACAGGATTGTTTTCTGGGTACTGTATTCATGTATCTTTCATGCTCTGAAATTTTGAAGGTTAATTCAAAATAGTATGTAATAGAATATTCAAGAAAAGAAATAACTACTCAACATCAGATTTCTTTC